GTACCTTGCTTTTTGCCAATTCCTTCAATGCATCTCGGACTTCCTCCCTAAGTATCATTGGCTCTTGATCATATGCTCCCTCTTGAAACCACTGAACATTAACCATTGAATAGTAATGACCAAAGACCAGACAATTTGTGAGGTGACATCACGGACATTGTACAAGAAGAAAAAAACAAGAAAGAAAAGACCAAATGGATATCAGAAGAGACTCTGAAACTTGTTCTTGATGGTGGAGTAGCTAAAGGAAATTGAAGCCATGATGAAGTACAAGAGCTGAGCAGAAGATTTCAAAGGGCATCTAGAGAAGGCAAAGTAAATTATTATAATGAAATGTGCCGAGATCTGGAGTTAGAAAATCACAAGGGAAGACATGTTTGGCATTTCCCAATAGGAATGAACTGAAGGAAAAATTCAAGCCTCAAGTTATTCAATACTGAATTGTTCTATGGACAAAATATTGAATGATAAATAAACAATGAAAGAAGATGGAAGAAATGCACAGTCACTGTACCAAAAAGAATTGGTTAGTGTTCAACCATTTCAAGAGACAGCGTCTTATCAAGAACCAATGGAAGAAGTCTAAACTGCTCTGACACCGCTCATCTGCCAGTTTGTCGCATGTGGCAGCCTGCATGTTGCTGTGATGCTGGAGCCTATGCCACTGGTACTTTAAATACCACCAGGGTTACCCATGATGGCCAGGTTTCCGATGAGCTTCCAGACTAAGACAGACTAGGAAGAAGAAGAGACAGACTACATCTGAATATTTAGACACTGAAAACCTTATAAATAGCAGTAGAACACTGTTAGGTAGCATCAGAATATTGAATATTGAAACATGATGAAGAGCACCAGAATGTTGTGATATATAGTGTTGGAAGATGAGCCCCTCAGGTTGTTGTTGGTGGTTATGTGCTGTGGAGTCGGAACTGACTCATAGCGACCCTGTACAGGGTTTCCGAGGCTGTAAATCTTTATGGGAGCAGAAAGCTTCATCTTTCTCCCGCAGAACAGCTGGGAGTTTCGAACTGCTGAACTTGCAGTTCGCAGCCCGATTTGAAACCACTACGCTACCAGAGCTCCTTTCCCTCAGGTTGGAAGACACTTAAAATACCACTGGGGAAGAGCTGCATCCTCAAGTAGGTTGACCATGATGACGCAAATGGAGTAAAGCTTTCGGGACCTTCCTTTGCTGATGGGACACAACAGGAAATGAGGAGGAACAGCTGTAAACATCCATTAATAATTGGAACATGGAATGTATCATGTATGAATCTAGGAAAATTTGAAGTTGTCAAAAATGAAATGGAATGCATAAATATCGGTATTCTAACATTAGTGAGCTGAAATGGACGGGTACAGGCCATTTTGAATATGACAATCATATGGTTTACTATGCCAGAAATGACAAATTGAAGAGGAAAGGTGTTACATTCATCATCAAAAAGGACATCTCACTTTGCTGTGTCTACTGTGAGAATGAAGAACATTTTCAGCAACCAGACTGTTGACATCCCAGAGAACGCTGACATCAGTCTGAAGGGTTGGACAGTTATTGTGAAGGGTCCCAGAGAAACCTTACCGAGGCACTTCAATCAAATCAATGTAGAACTTAGTCCCATGGGAAAGAAAAAGAAGAGGCTTCACGTTGACAAATGGTGGGGAAACAGAAAGGAACTGACTACAGTCTGCACCATCTATAGTCATGTACAGAATATGATCCAGGGTTTTACACTGGGCTTCCGTTACAAGATGAGGTCTGTGTATGCTCACTTCCCCATCAATGTAGTTATCCAAGAGAGTGGGCCTCTTGTTGAAATCCGAAACTTCATGGGTGAAAAATACATTTGTAAGGTTCGGATGAGGGCAGGTGTTGCTTGTTCAGTATCTCAAGGCCAGAAATATGAATTAATTCTTGAAGAAAATGACATTGAACTTGTATCAAATTCAGCAAGCCACAGCAGTTAAAAACAAGGATATCTGAGAATTTTAGGATGATATCTACATATCTGAAAAAGGAACCATCCAACAGGCCAGTGAGTAAGATATAAAAGCTCCCCAGCTATGGAAACAAGGCTCAGTGATTCCTAAGACCTGTCTCTGACATTTTGTGTGTGTGTGAGAGAGCCCATTTTTATTATACACTCTGAAGAATTAGTAAAGGCATAATGTTCATTTACACAATTAAATACAGTTAGCACTGTGTAATTACACAGTTATGTAAGTAATTTCAGCACAGAGCTCATCTGCATGGTACATAAGGTTTACATGGCTGCTGTGACTCTGCAGACAACTGTTTCCAAAGCCCGTGGCATCAGAACCACCAAGGGATGCATCAACAACACAAATCAGATTCCTATGCCCATACTTCAAAAATTCTGATTCTGAAGATCGGAGGTAGGGCCTACTGATTGTTCTTTTTCAGAAGCTCCCTGGATGAACCACATGTACATACAACCAAAACTCTAAGTGACTGGTGTGGAGCACAATCGTTTCTTGATTGGCTATGGCTGTGAGACTAGTAAACCAGTAAAGTTAAAACATGCTATCTTTTTCAGTATTTGGTAGTGGATGTTAAACATTACAATAAGAAATGTTTTCTCCACTATAGTTATGGCCTGAGAGTGTCATCAGCTTTCTCCAGGGCATAGATGTCTTTGCTGTACAGCAGTTCCATCTTCTTGTCACTTGGTCTCATGGCGTTGTTCATCATCGCTCTCACCACAGTCACTATGGGCACAGAGTGGGCACTGGCCCAGGATTCTGGTAAGGAGCCAAAGAATTTCCTGATCAACCATTCACTGGAGCGAGATTCTTGCCTATCACATAACAAAACTCCAGGTCTAAATATGGAGTAAAGATCGAATTTTAATTCTTCAACCTGGCTTCTACTTCTCCCTTAATTTGCAGGATAAAAAATTGCTTGACTTATCAGCTCCTTTAGAGGACAGCAAGTTGAAATGTGTGCACCCTCCAGTTTTGCCAGGTCTGCAGACTTTAGCAAATAATCTCAGTCAACACGAACAAATCTTTCAGCCCCAGCTTTTTTTCTGGTAATACCCAGGCAACAGAATCCAACATCATGACCTTGAAAGGCATTCGCATAGTCATCCAACTTCTCAAAGTTCACCACTTCTTGGTTCACATTTTTATAAGCTTCCTCCTCCAAGGTGAGCTTCCTCCTGCCAATGAGCATGACTTTAGAAAACAGGCTTTGTTGCAAGATTTCTTTTAAGAACACTTTGCCGGTTTCCCCACTGGCGCCCAGAATAAAGACAGACTTGTTCTGCATCCTGAAGTCTTCCCTAAGCTTAGGTAGAGCCTCAGTCATAGCCCCTGTCAAGGACAGGTGCTGGTCTTAGGATGCTAAGGGATGGCCTGTCCTCAGCGTGGGGAACAAGAGCTATTATCTGTTTGGAAGGAAGATATTATTATTCTCTGCAGTTTTTGTTATTTTCCACAGGGACCCAAAGGAAAATGACGAATCACTGTGGGCAGGGCGGACACCCTGTCGATCTTCTCCACCTAAGCCAGCCCACACTCGGAAGGGGCCTGCACAGGAGGGCACACCCGGGTGCCATACACAGAGGGGACCACGAGGCCCCTTTCCCCACGGAAACCTGGGGTTTGGCTCATCAAGGGCACCCTCCTCCACCCATAGGAGTCCAGGAACTGAGTTGGGCCCCTGACTCCACATCACACAGCTCCCAGCAAAAGCAAGGCGGCCCCTAGAGCCTCCACTGCCTCTACCCTCAGCCCTGCAGCCCGGGCCTGTCGCTGACATTTTTGATGTATAAAATGTATCTAATAGGGATAAAAAAGAACATATCAAGATCTACTTTAAAGTGTAACCCTGTCTGTGATATAATAATAGAATAATATCCATACGCCTACAAAGAAGACCAGTTAATACAGCTATTATTCAAATTTATGTATCAACCACTAAAGCCAATGATGATGAAATTAAAGAATTATACCAACTTTTTTAGCCTGAAATTGATCAAACATTCAATCAAGATGTATTGATCATTACTGGTGATTGGAATGCAAAGGCTAGAAACAAAGAGGAAGAATCAGTAGTTGAAAAATATAGCTTGATGACAGAAATGATGCTATAGATTACACAATAGAATTTTTCAAGACCAATGACTTGTTCATTGCAAATACCTTTTTTAAACAACATAAAAGACAACTATACACATGGTCCTCGCCAGGTGTGATACACAGAAAGTAATTGACAATATATGTGGAAAGAGACGATGGAAAAATTCCACATCATCAGTCAAAACCAGACCAGGGACAGACTGTGGAACAGACTATCAATAGATCATATGTAAGTTCAGGCTGAAGTTGAAGAAAAAGGAAACAAGTACATGAGGGCCAAAATATGATCTTAAACATATCTGTGCTGAGTTTAGAGATCATCTCACGAACAGATTTGATGAATTGGACACTAATGACTGAAGACCAGAAGAATTGTGGGATGGCGTCAAGAACATCATACAGGAAAAAAGCAAAAGGTGATTAAGAAGACAAGAAAGAAGGAAAATGACCAAAATGGATGCCAGAAGAGACTCTGAAACTTGCTCTCCAGTGTAACGATGCTAAAGCAAATGGAAGAAATCAGGAGGAAAAAGCTGAATAGAAGCTTTCAAAGGGTAGCTCCAGAAGACAAAGTCAGCTATTATAATGAAATATGCAAAGATCTGGAGTTGGAAAACCAAAAAGGAAGAACATACTCAGTATTTCTCAAGTTGAGGGAACTAAAAAAAAAACTCAAGCCTTGACATGGAATATTGAAGGATTCTATGGCTAAAATGGAGTCCTGGTGTGGTACTGTAAGATAAATCCAGGACTGCAAGGTCAGTTTGAACCACAAGGTCAGCAGTTCAAACTCACCAGTCGCTCTTTGGAAACCCTATACTGGGTTACTATGGGTTGAAATCAACTCGATGGCACTTAACAACAACAACAACAACAACAACATGGGCAAAATACTGGAGGATGCAGAAAGCATCCAAAGAAGATGGAAGGAATACACAGTCACTGTATCAAAAAGAAATAGTCAATGTTCAACCATTTTAAGAGGAAACATATGATTAAGAGCCAATGATACTGAAGGAAGAAGTCCAAAGTGCACTGAAGGCATTGGCAGGGAACAAAGCTCCAGGAATTGATGGAATAAAAACTGAAATCTTTCAACAAACTGATGTGGCACTGTAGGCATTCACCTATCTATGCCAAGAAATTTGGAAGACAGCTACCTGGCCAACTGAATGGAAGAGATCTATATTTTTGCCCATTCCAAAGAGAGGTGACCCAGTAGAATGTGGAAATCATTGGAAAATATCATTAATATCACATGTAAATAGAATTTTGATAAAGATAATTCAATAACAACAGGAACAGTACAAATGGCAAGGAAATACCCAAAGGTTCAAACCAGATTTAGACAAGGACATGGAAAGAAGGATTTCATTGCTGATGTCAGATTTATCTTGACTGAAAACAGAGAATACCAGAAAGATGTTTACCTGTGCTTTATTGACTATGCAAAAGCTTTTGCTTGTGTGGATCATGACAAGTTATGGGCAACATTGTGGAGAATGAGTGTTCCAGATCACT